TAAGTCATCAAATATAAATACCTTCAATTTACCAAACTTTTTTTGAAAAAACTTATTTCCAATCATTTTATATAGTTTCTTCCTATCTCCATAGTAAGAGCATTTTCCTGTTTATATACTCCATCTGTATGTTTAACCCAATCCTCTCTCTTTCCAGCCTATGACCCTCTTTTAATCATCCTCGTTTTTATGTATTTTAAACTGGCCTTTTACTCCAGGATCCTTTCATCCAGTCTATAAACATACAATGTGTATCCTCTTCTAACAGAAAGGAACCTACTTTGATACCAGATATCCCTACCTAGTATTTCTCCTCCGCAATCTCTTGGTGTATTTATTTTCTGATCTCCCCTCCATACCTCCAGCCACTGCAATCTGTTTTCTGTCTTCCCTCCCTCCTTCTCCCCCTCCCCCTTCCTTCCCTCCCCTCTCTCTCTCTTTCCCTCACCACCCTTCTGAAATCACTCTACCTAAAGTCCCTAATGATTACTCATGACAAAGCTAATGAGTGTTTTTTCACTTACCATTTTTACTGTTGAATCATTTCTTCTTTCTTGTCTTAGTTCTATTCTTCATATTCTCATGTTTTCTTCTCTGTGTTATTCAGAAGCTTCTAATCCTCCGTCTATCACTTAACTGTTATGTTCCCGGGGCAGAGGAAAACTCCTTGGCCTTCATTTCCTGGGCTATTTCCCTGGTTGACTCCACTTTTGTTGTTTGTGGCTATTTCCTATTCATTGGTAGTGAAGCTACTTCCAAATTGCTCTATGTAGCCTAAACTTCTTTAAGTTTTAAAAGTATTTATCTGACTCCTCCTAGAGGTGTTCCGTACCCCTCTCAATAGTTCCAAACCTGAACTTGTCCCTCACCTAAACTGACAACCCCCCACCTTTGTTAAGGTACCACGTACACCTGCTTACTAAAGCTATGAGAATGGGAGTGTTTTTTGACCCTTTGCTTCCCCTCAACATCCAAATCCCATTATTTACCAAGTGTTATGGATTTTAATTGATTAAATCTCTGATCTCTATCTCTCCATCTACCACCTTACCTAGTTCAGGCCCTTAAAAAGTTTCTGTTGTCTTAGACCATGGCAAGTGCTCCAATACATACTTTTCTTTTCCATAATCTTTTCTCTCAAATCAACCATCACAGAGTCTCTAGAGTAACTATCATTACACCCACCTCCTCATTAAAACTGTTCAAAACACTTCCAGTGCTTACAGTCACAGATTTGGGTTCTTTAACAAAATAACCTAACACAGGGTTATTCGTCATTGGGATCATTTCTATCATTCTAGGTTCACTTCTTGCTATTCATTGCCTTGTAGATAATGCTCCAATAATATTCAAATACGAAATTTATTACTTTAGTAACTGTGCTCATACCTTTCTTTAAAATTCCACTGACATCCTACCTTACCTACATATAATTCCAATTTCTTCTTTGATATAGGAAAAAGAAGATAGAGCCTAGTTGCTGTCTCCTCCATGACATCTTTATATAAAATCCATCATTACACTGCCCACTGTCAGTGTCAGTGACTCCTTAATATGCTGTGTACAGCTTTAAGTAGAAATACTAGGAAAATAAAGTACGATACTGGGGTAAAATTTAAAATATGGAAGGGATAGTTATTAAAATTAAGGATATAAAGGGGTAACATTAATAAAAGGTAACATGCTATCCATTCTAAATATGTTTGTTTAAATGTTGACTGTTTTATAAGACACAACAGATCAAAGTTAATTTTGTACTGGTCAGCATAACCTTGCCAGAAGAAAAAAGAGCTTTGATTTCTAATATTAGCTAATATTTATCTCCTGAATTCAAAAGAAGTTTAGCAAACATTACTTAAGCCTCTATTCATCTGTTCCAAAGAGATAGCACACCTAATTTTTCATTTTACAATCTTGGGGTATAGACACCAGAGAATCTGATACCTCACAGCCAGGGGGTGCTACATTCAATTCACTACATTCAGAAAATTCCAGGTTTTATATAGTCAAACTGTGACCCACTTGGAGCTATAAATACATATTTATTCTCCAAAGGGGACTTTTCAGTTCATGGTAGTAATGTCACCTTGAAATTTAGACTGGGAAACTGGACACTTAGAAAGTTGTAATTTTCATTCTTTTTCCACAGCCCTCCATAAAAGAGATCATTTTTTCTTCAAGTGGTCTATTATTTTGACTAGAGTAGATGAATTAGGGAGAATTTGGATAATTTCATTCAAAAACTATTCTGCAAGAGAAAAAGATTGATCCAGATGCGAACTTTGCCCAAGAGGTACAAGAAGAACAATGTAGCCTAGAATTGACGATATTTTTGAGAACAGATTAAACCTCTGGATATGTAAGTAAAGAAAGTGGAGACTATTAGGGAAAGATAAAGGGTCAAGAGAGTGGGGTTCCACTGTTAACATAAAAGTACTAGTGAAGTAGAAATAACTCAACAAAAGAATGAGGAAGAACCATGTAGAGTTCTGGCCCAAGAGCAGAGTATTTGAATTAAGATTTCAAAGGCAGAACAATCTCAGGTGATGGTAAGATTCAGAGTATGACCATGGGAGTAACCGACTGAAGCAACCTGGAGGTAAAATGCACCACCTCCCATTTGAAATAGTCAAGGAAGGAAGTGGGTGCTGAACAGATCATTCAGGTGAATTCTAACATGAAGCTCATTACAGAAATTGTGATGAAGAAGACTAAAGCCAGGCGCTAAAATCTGCAGTGACTAAAATAGCATAACCAAGAGGTCAAGAGATGGTACCAACATGGAAAGGGTAACAGGTGGTTGTGCTCTGCTACAGAACATAGAGAGGTATAGAAGTTAAAAACGAGAAGCATAGAATGCTGTGGTAATAAATACAGGAGAATGGGGAGATGACTAGATAAGCTTTCATATCTTCAGTAATCCCAGAATATCACAGTGGATTGAGATGGGGGGTCAGAGGAACTGAGTAACTTGGAAAGGTGAAAGCAGAGTGAAAACAACTGATCAAAGTCACTTAAAAAAGAAAATCAAAGGAAGGGAATGTAAAATGAAAATTCAGTATAGCATTACTTCTGTAAAAGAGACACACAAATGCAATAGGCAAGGAGCCTTCAGGTAGATGCAAGGTATACAACCATATATTCTGGTTCTCGGTTTGTGTAGTAGATTTATGGATGTTCATTTTATTATTATGCTTTGAAATGTACACACATTCTTTTCTATGTATCAAACTGATAATGATAAAATATTTTAAAAATCAATTAAAGAACTCCATTCTTACAAAATCTACCCAATTTGTCTGTATATAGGCTCACAATCTGAATCATTTAAATGACAGCAAATCTTACAGTTAGATAGTAAAAAACTGGTTTTCTAAAACTGATTTTCCTACTGGTTTTACTTTAACACAAATATTAATAATATGTTTTCTGGCCACAAGCAAAATCATGGTACCAGGAAAAAAAATCAGAAATGTTTCTTTCAAAATAGGTTAGCTAGGTTGAGAATCTGGTATTAGGAAATTAATAAACAACCTAGAGCTGACCAAGAACTAATTCTACCTATGTCCATTTATTGAAAGAATAAGTAATATGAAGTAACCTATTTAAACCTAATAATTAAAATTAGAAAATATAGAATATTAAAAATGTGGTACATGATTTTAATGTACACTAAAGTGCAGAGATACAGTGGTAAGTAGAATAAGCCTATAATCAATCAGTGATGTCTCATTGACGTCACCCAACTTAAGAAAGGCTTAGGCCAATTATAAAAACAATTACATAATTACTTTTTATACATTTTTAAGATAAATGTTTAATCACTGCAAACAAAAAATACAAAGTAATACATATTTGGTATTGAAGCAAAATAACAGAAAGGGATAGAGAAAATTCAAAAGAAAATTAAATATAGTAATGACCACTATCATATAATAAACTGAATGGCATTATATTTCAATTACATTTACTGAAAGACATCACAAAACTTGAGTTATTAGGAATATATTGTTAATGGTACTTCTATGTTCCTACCACATTTACCTACTTCCTTTCAATCCTTAGAAATTTACTTGTTAGTTTTTTCTAAACTATTTTATTATTAACTCTTAATGAGTTAATTGAGTTAACTCTTATTATTAACTCTTAATGAGTTAATAACTCTTAACTAAGTTAATAGCATGAAGGTGGTTATGCATAACTCAAGCCACTTTGAAATGACAGAATGAGGACAGCATCTGTGTCCTCTCCTATACTATCTGAACTCACCACATTATCACTGCCATTTCTTCTCTACCTATAGGACCTCAAAATGTTTTCACCGAACTGACTCAAATCGCTAATGCTACCTACAGGCCTTCTTTCCCTTCTTTGTCTAGTTATTTCTCCCTCCGGTTAAATGCCACGTAATTTACTATTTCCCTTCAATACAAGGGGAATGGTGGTAGATGAGAAATAAACAAAGGTTTTCCCACAGACCCAGTATTCTCCATGGATCCCAAATCATCTACAGCAATGACTGAGGAGCAGATCACAGCCACCCTTGACAAGGCAACCAGAAACCCATCAGTTCAACCTAAGCACTTCGAGGACTGACTCCTGGACTGTGGAGGAAGGAAGGGAAGCGGGTTGTTAAGCAGTGTACACGAATCCACCAGTATTGTCTAAATATCTAATTATGAACTCTGCTGAGAAAGGTGGGCAGTCAAATGTAATTAAACTGTTATTCTATCCCTCTAAGAAATTAGTAGTTAAATCGTAATTCCTGAAGAACTCAATTTTTAGATCATCAAGTAGATAATCCTAACTCAAAAGGAAGCTGTATTTTTATATCATGCTACAATTAGTTTACATATGTGTATTTTCTACTATTTTATAAGGATAATGTATCTATATTTCATTATAATCATATATAAAACAGAAATAGAATTGAACTATATCATATCAATAGACAGACACATGCAATCCTATGGACAGACTCAATTGTAAGAAAAATATACCTGCCGTCCCTGTGATGACGTTCAGGGCTCTGACTGTGTCTGGAGCGAGGTAGAGTGAGAAAATGACTGTGGGCATGGCAGAAACAAGAACAGAAATGAGACTCAGGAAAGAAATGAAAGGCAAAGTTTAATTTTTAAAAGTGAGAATAAAGGAAGATAAGCAGATAGTAGGCAAAGTAAATGAAAATTGATCCTGGAAAGGTTGCTCCTTCAACCCAATATCCATTATCATATGTCAGTGACAAAGTTAAACTAATCTAAGTGTCCTAAAAGGCAACAAAATATAACAAACTGAGATTTAAACAAATTATATTACAAAATAAAATCTTATCAATAATTACTCAAACATCTTCAGCACAGTCTATAAAATATTACACAATATAGATGCTTTCCAATTTTTAGGAGGAAAGATAAAAAGAGAAAAATAATAAAATAACCAAAGAATTTAAGAAGAAAGTAATAAAACAGGCAATTTCTAATACTTATCATACTACAGAGATTTATTTATAAAGTAAGTATTTCTTTTTCTATCATTAATAATTAAGAATAACTAACGGGCTTTATAAATTCCATTTAGTAAAGAACAAACTGACCCAAATTATTTCTGGTTATTAATTTTATTGATTAAATTCATCGGATACTAGCCATTTTCCCACTCACTATTTTTATTACACTTATTCCATGCCCTTGGCTCTGCTGCAGTTCACGCTTCGTGGCCCCCAGAGCCACTGTCAAAGCAGCACACCGACATTTTACCCGTCTGTAGTTGACTGTCTTTTTTGCACAGCACTTTAAAATTTTTTTCTATTTTCTTAAAATCTTTATTGCCAAAACATTTAATTCTGGCAGATGATTGTTGTCTTTCCAAAAAATAGAAACCAACCTTGGACTCTCTCAATTTCCATTCTTCTCCCTCTAAATATAGAGTAAGTATATATTTATATCTTCACTTGTCCTTCTCTTCTTCACCAAAGTAAGAAACTCCTCTGCTTGTAATTCTACTTCCTACAAGGCCTTGCTTCATTCATCGTTGCCTAAAATCCCTCAAGTGCACTTAATCCTAAAAATAAAACCTTAACTGAACTTGGCCTTCTTCTCAAGCCATTGCATCTGACCTTCCTTGATTTCTGCCTCTACAATTCTCTTGAAGCTATTCTGTGAATATTATCTGTGAAATCCCCTAAAATCCTTTAATCTCTTCTTGATCTTCACCATACTACATGTATTGGTGGAATTAGACAGACATTGATTTTCAAACTTTATTTCTTGACACTTCTCTCTTGCTTTCTGAAACACTTTTTTTCTGGTTCTAACAATAGTATTTTTTTAACACTTAATTACGTGCCATTAAAACTTTGTCTATTTCATCTCATTTACTTCTCATCACAACTCTTTGTGGTAGGTTCTAATATTTCCACAGACGAGATACAGAGGCTACGAGTGCTTGCCTCTAGCCATATAGTAAGCAGCTCAAACTCAAAACTTCCTTATACAAAATTCAGGATCTTAATATTTATACATGTGACTTGGTTACTTGCCTAACTGCTTCTTTATCCATTTCATTTACCTAAATTCCCTTTCTCTGTATTCCTTTGATGGAGTGGTTTCCAAAGACTTAATCCTGGACCTTCTTTACATTCTTATTGGATAATATTTTGTTTTTATAGTGCAAACTCTCACTGTGCTTTAGCCTCAGTTTTTCCTTGGGTTTCACTGCATGTGTCCAGCTGCTCTGTGGGCTGCCCACGTGGCTGCTTTAGTGTCATACAGACTTCTGAAAACACGTGCTCACTGTGGGGTTTGAGCAAGACATCTGCCCAGGTAGACTTCTGGTTCTACCTTCATGAAATGATGGGGCTGGAGCAGTGGTTCTCTAATTTTCTTTTTGAGCAGAAGAGCACTTGTTTTTGCAATAAATACTGTCTTGAATGTACACAATGAATTAAACAAATAAAGTTACATTAAAAATGGCATTTAATCCAATCTGTTCTAATTTATAAAAAAATTAAGCAGAGCAGTTTACTGTAAGAAAAAGACAGAAAACTAAAAAATTACTACATTTTGAAAAGCAAAAGAAAAAATGAAGTCTCACATTCTAAAATGATAATAAAAATATCACTATTCAAAGAGTTGAACTAGCTCACTAATCAAATTTCTTGACACACTTTGATTCTTATTAAGTAATAAAATCTTTAAAGACAGAACAAAATCATATTTATAATGCATTATCCTTCCATAGTATTAAATTAGCCCAAATTACCCCTTTTAGAAACCACCAGACACACACAAAAAGACTGCAAAATGAAAAGATAAAATATAATATCCTTAAGTAACTAACAGTTTTTGAAAGCTAACTTTCAAACAATTTCAACTTAATACAAAACTCTGTGATCTATTTTTAGTGTTTTGCTAATCTATAGTTCTTAAAGTATGGAATGTTTTGCTACTCTATAGTTCCTAAAGTATACTCAGTGTGATTTAACTATGTTAAAATATATTCCTAAAATGTAGTAAATAAAAAATGCATTATTTTCATAAAGCGATTTATCTCTCTTTTCATTTACTTTCTTTATATTTTCAAACCTTCAGAGATATGTTTCACCTCATATTTGATAACTGAAGGGCCAAAAAAACTAAAATTAGTTACAGATTTGAGACTTTCAGTTAGCTGGTTGCTTAATAAAGAATACACAAATGCCTTCAGTACGTCAGGTATTTCAGAGATCCATTTAGTAGGGCATTTTTCTTTTTAAAATATAAATGCATTAATTGAATCTACAGAAGAAAGTTTATGAATATATTTTTGGCTAGTGTTAATTATATGTTGTCTTATTATGCTAAAAGTATTGACAAAATCATTCTGAGATGTCCATTAAATTACAATGGGCTGGGTGTGGAGTAGGAGAAAGACAAGAATATTTTTAGGGGTTTTATTAATCATCATATGAGGATATGCTGATTGACAATAGAGAGAGAAAAAAGGGGAAATAGTGGGGGGGGGGGATAATCATAGATGTAAGAGAGAAACAGCCACTGATTGTCGTACTCACCCTGACTGGCGATGAAACCTACAACCTACATATGTGCCCTGACTGGGAATTGAACCTGCAAATTTTCTGGGTACTGGACAAGACTCCAGTGAACTTAAGGTTCCTGGCCAGGACAAGAAGCAAGAGTAGTCAACCCATTAAGAGTTGTAGGCTTCCTAAGAGACTGCTTATTGGCATAGAGTTTTGAATCAACTTTTGCAGTGACTATGAGATGTCACAGTATCCTGCTTAAGCACAAACTTTCAGGACCATTTCCCACAACCAATCAAAAGTATCCTAAATAGTAATGTCACTGCCTTATAGACAATGCACCTATCATAGAACTGCCCCCCTTTCACTTCTTCCTACCCCCTTATCTGCATCCCCTTTTCTGTTCTTTCAAAAAAACTTACACCTTTCTTCCCCAAAACATAAACCACCTGTTACCTCCAGGACAGCAAACATGTTTGTCTTTTCTACCCAGCCCTGCTGCTGGTAGTTTAGACTTCACACTGCAGGGCCTGGTCCCTTGCTGGCTAGCATTTGGCTCAATAAAACATTCTTTCAGAAAAGATTTTGGCCATGAAAGTTCTTCGTTTAACTCCATGCACCAAAAAAATTCTGGCCTTTACAATAAACATAATAATTCTTACTGCACGTAATTTCTGACATGTTACAGGAATATTATCTGGTACTCTATACTTATTCCAGTAGTAAATTAAGTCACATAAACAAATAAGCTCTTGAAATGACTTCTAATACTGAAGCCACATAGTTAGTCCTCGGAAATTATGCTCCTAGTTATAGTAGTTATCACAGTTTCCTAGAGAAACAATGAAGATGAAAGATGCCATTTGCAATTCATCTTCTGGCTAATACCCCTGCACCAAAGTTTCTAAATTACTTGTAAAGAACTATTTTCTTTTCAAAACAAAATAGGATTTTGACTAATGATAAAAGAGTGAGATGTGCAAAGAAATAAAGAGCCAATCAAAATTTTGATATATAATTTTTTTATGTTATCCATAAGAAAAGGTATGACTACCGTATCTCCTTATACCACTTAAGTTTAACCAGGTACTATAAATTAATGTCAAATGGCATCAATTATCACCCAGTGTGGTCAATGTAAAAGCCATTATCTTCATGCATAACTTTTCAACAGGTCCCCACGCCCTACATCCTGCGGACTGGGTCTTTCTGATATACACATGTGTTCTGCCTCTGTGTCTTTGCTCTTGTTCTTGACTGAATAAACATGGTTATTTTTCAGGGTCCAACTCCTGCCCTACATTCTCTACACAGCTTTTTAAAAAACATCTGAATCGGCTCATTTCTCTTTTTCTGCTTAACTGATAAGCACATAACATGTAAATTATTTTTAAGACAAAAGATCCTTTTGAACATTAAGGATAAGACATATTTTCAGAGTATATACTATGCAATTGGTGGCACTGTGTCAATCATTTTGCCTCCAAACTCTGTAATATTGGTACTAGTATGATAATTATATAGTTAAAAAAAATCAAATTCCAAGGAGGTTAATTTTCCCAAAGATACATGGTTAGCAAGTAGTAAAAAACCTAAATCCAAACCCAATGCCATTTGGTTCCAAATCTTATGAAAAAGTATTCAATAAAATACTGTTCTACTCCAGCGCATCAATTCTTACAGACAACAAAGGTTAAATCATCATGCAAAATGCCTAAATTTACTTATTTCAAAGGAAATTTTCTTTTAGACTTTTTCCCCCAACTGTTTTTCAATACTGTCTTTTTTTCCATTACCATTTATTCTCCTTATATTACCCCCCACCTTTCAATTACCATACTGGAAATTTTCTTTTAGAATTTTTCATCAACAATATAATCAACTGACTCTATAAAATGCTGTTCATGTAAATTCACTGTAGAGTATTCTTAGCAATTACATAATACATAAAAATTACAATGCCTTCACATGCATACTATTAAAATATTTTAGAATATTAGGATAAACAGAAATTAAGAACCCACTGTTTAATGTTTTGATAGACTATGTGGATAATACCATACATTTTTATTTTTTATTCCTTATGTTAATGAATAATGATTGCACAGATAAATAAAAAATAATAATTAGAAATGGTTATATAGTCCTATATAAATTAATTTCTATTTTACTTATTTCAAAAAGAACTTAAAACAGCTCACGATAATTATGATCTGGTAATATATGGCACTCTAAGAGAGTAATAAAACCGCATAAATCAATTTCCCCAAAACTCCGAATTACTTGAAAATTTTTGCTAAACTAGAAGACTCATAAAGTTATAAAGTAAACAAAAGTCTCAGTCAATATTTTTTCATTAACTCTAAGGGCCATTTGCCTTATTGATAAAATATTATGTGTGTCCATAACAGTGACACTCTCTGTGTTCAAGTAACATCTACAGGCTACTTCTATTCCACTCTTCTCTGCAAGATTTAGACCATCTTGTCTTCAGGGATAATGTCAAGCCCAATTTTCATTAAAAGAAAAACTTAAATTAACTCTAAGGATTTAAAATCATTTCAGACTTTCCTGTCTCATCATTTCCTTAAGCTTTCACTAAACAAGAAACTTGTGAATCACTATGTAAACAGTTTCCAGAAATGATCTAACTCATTAATGTTCTATGGGTAACAAAGTACTCATTCACATTCCCTAATACCATTCTTTCCAGCTTCTAATCACGCCACATAGTTATCTTTCATTCACTATTACTGTTTTTGATAAGCATACATTTCTACAGGTAGAATATCTACACTTATGCCTCAAGACATAAATAACTATGAAAAAGTCAAACAAATTAAAATTATTGATATAGTATATTAACTTTCATTCAATGGCGATAAAGATATTAATTTGGAAACTGTCTAGTTTCTTCTTAGATTTCATACTCAATAGCCAAGCCTGGTTTGACACAAACTGAGATCTTCTATATCTTTTCTTTTGTAAAAGTGTGCTAAAAGACAACAAAATTACAAGCATGAATTGAGTATAACCCTAGATTTAGACAATACAATTAAATTTATGGATATTGACAGCAACATCTCATATCAGCTGATTTAAGAGCCTTCTAGTATTTCTGTTAAAATTAGTCTAGGATATATAGAAAAGACTTCTGAGTTCCCTTGTTATTTTATCGTAACACTCTTTAAATGGTATATTGTTTTCTTTCCTTATGTCAAACTCATTTGTTAGCATTTTTCATTTTATATACAATCAAACCATAAATTAGAAAGTTAATTTGCTTAATTTTAAAAATGTCATAATTAATGTGTGTATTGAAGCATATCATGTTCCTTCCAAGTATGTTACATTTAATAAAGCAAAATCAGAGAATTCTTCCAAATACAGCAATCACCATGATTCTTTAAGATGCTTAAAAATTTACTGAAAGCCGTGAGGAAAAACCTCTTCATGAATCAGTTATTGTGTTTGTTTCTTAAACAAACCAACTTATTTCAATACTGTTATATGTTAAAAGTCACACTGATTTCCCTGATGAATGCAACAGACTAAAATCTATTATCGCATGAGAGTATGTTTATAAATAATAACTATGATAGGGTAAAAATAATAAAACATCTTGTTTTCATTATATCACTATGACCTCATGTGCAAATTTACTAACTTACTGGTTTCATTTAACAAAGGACCAAAATTCAAAGAGCAAGATAATATTATTTTTTTCTTACCAAAACAAAAATATTATGTTGCTCTGTTTTATTTTTATTAAATGATGTAGTGGTCATAAGAATCAACATAGGCATTGTATAGGACACATCGGGTTTCAGAAACTAAGATAAGAAATACCCAAGTTCAGGAGGAAAACATTTTATGGAAACACCTTTTTTATGAAGGCAGCAATTATTATAAGGTATAACAGTATGTAATTATATTCACCTGTCTCTATCTGGAGAGTAACGGTCATCCATGACACGATGCCTGTCCATCCGGCTAATTGTATTGTAATGTCCAGTAGTAGAGCGTGTCCCTCGAAGTCCCTGCTCCACATTCCGACTGAAATAGCAAGATCCATTAAATATTTTAAAACCACAATCATACAGTATACTAATAAATAAGTTACTAATAAAGATAGTATAAAATGACAAACATCACTATAACGTTAAGTCCAAGATTTTTGTTTTGTTTTAACTACCTGTACCTCTGGTTGATGGTATAAACATCCATTGGAGGTTAACAGTGAAGTTAAGAGGTTAGTTATAGAACAGATGTGATATAAAATTAAGACAAAATCAGTGGGGATAGCGATGAGGATTATCAAAACTATTAACATATGACTCTCAGGTCTCCAGTAGAAATATTCAATGATAAAAAAAAAAAACTCACACAGCCAGAGGAATAGATTTGTGTGGAAAAATGAGCTCAGCATGTTGCTTATACATAATATATTGTAAGACACTATTTTTAGGGATAATGAATGTTTTCTAATCTCTAAACTGAAGTCCTTATAATTGATCAGTGATGATTCTTTAAGCTACCATTCTTGGCCTGGATGTCTACTTCTTATTCAGGATAGAATAAACCTTTTATATAAGCTACTAATCTTATTATTCTATTGACACGTCTACCACATTTAAGAAAGTACTTTTCAGAAGACTCAATAACTGTAGTCCCATTGACAAACTCAGCTACGTCAACATCTTCAAAAATTTTAAGCCATATTTATAAAGCTTTAATATATTACATGTTCTTTTTAATTTCTTGTGTCTAAGTAAACACTCTTTAAGTGCTTAGTATTCTTATAAATTAAATAAATTATATTTATAAATATAATAAATCTCAAGTTCTCTTAGATGGCCCAATATCATGCATCAAGCTAAGGTTATATTTAAAAATTTCAAGCCTGAAAGTAACTCAATTACTCATTTATAGGAGGAGTTATGAGTATAAAATTCTAAGTGCTCAAATTTCCTAAACATTGCAAGTATATAAATTGTGAATTATGCACATATTTCTTATTAGCAAACATTATTTCCATGGCTCTCACTCCAGTAAGCCTTTCCGTACTCGACTGATCAGAGTTTCCCTCTAGGGATAAGACCTGGACCTGCAGATTCTCTGCGCCATTTCACCCACTACCTGTGCATTCCTTTAAATTCTCTGCATACTGTTCCTAATTTTAAAGCCCCATCATGTGTATATTTTTGTTATTTCCTGAATTATCAACATTTCTATCATTTATGATTACAATAATTAGTTGATTATAACTAAATCTGTTTAACACTGATGTGATTTAAAGCTAAATCCTGTTTATAATTTTGAACTCTTCCAATAAAATAATAGATGTCATCCAAAGTTACAAAGTAGTCTATATTTTCTATTACTCTCATTATGGAGGTTATCTAACAGTATATTTGCTATTCCTGCAGTAACTTTTTCCACAAGAATTTATTATTTTTAGAGGATATTAAGGGTATTTATTGATAAATAGGCTGGTAATCTCTCCTACAAGTAGAATGTGTGTGCTGCCTTACCTTTGTGGAGGAGGGACACTGGGTGACCATGACCGAGTCCTTCCTATGACGTCTACTCGGTGGGGAGACCCTGATGGTGAACAATGGTTTGATGACATTACTTGTTCTGGCACTGACAGTGTTGAGCTTTGAAGATCTCGACCATTGTGTCGATAATCTAAAGGTGGAAAGAGTAATATTACAGTTAACTACACACTAAATAATTCTGTATTTTGTACTTTACTGAAAAACATAAAATGTTGGTGAAGCTGAAAGGCTTTGACTATATTAAAGGCACAGCATATACTAAGACATAATAATATTTTGCAGACATTTAAAAAAGGGTATCAAATATTCAGATATTTATGTAGCTACTATGTCCAAGGCACTGTGCTTGGTAAAGTAAAACATATACAATTAACTTCAATAAAATAGTTGTTTATTCTAAAAATACTTTCATCTCTTCAATCACCTAGGAGAGCTTCAAATAGTCCTCAAAAACCATGTCTATTTAAAAGTATTAGCCACAAAACATTCCTAAAAGTCTTTAGTTATTTCTTTAAGAAATAAACGGCATTGGAAAGCACTCTGAATACCATGGAAGTAGCCATATGAACTGCTTTTCTTACAATGCATGACAGGACAGAGGTGAGCAGAAACCTGAGAATAAAAATACGACAAACTAGAGGAGGAAATTGCCCCATGACTCGATACACTTACACAGAGTCTATTAGCAGTGATATTAGTCAGATGAGTCCTCAAGAGCACTGATACGTGGCAGATGGAGAGAAAGTAAAACGGATTTTAAGTTGGTAGAAAAATAGCACTTCCATGTGAGGCAGCAGTGGGGAAATAGTAGTAGAGGTGAGTTTGATGCAAATTATATATATCTAATATGTCATAGGTCTGTAATGGAAAAGACCCGAAATTTCGGAGCAGAAAGTGAGAGTATCATCACCACCTCTATTCATCATGCTCATCATGACGACTATTAACTGATCTTTTACTATGTTCCAGATACACTGCAGGTACAGTGTTCTGCTTCAGCACATTTCAGAAATAAACTCAGACACGGTATTAGTTTACAGGTGATTTTTCCCAATATGTTAAAATTTCATGGTATTATCTCAGGTTCCCTAAAAGCAGAGCAAAAGAGTTAAACACTTAGGTGTACATAAATAATTAGAGGAGGCTCTCAGGAGAAGGGAATTATAAGAGCAGAGGAGGGTGTAAGAAGAAATTAAGCAAAAATGTGGTCTTGGTCTGATTCTACTGGAGGCTCTAGGACATAAATATAGCTAGTGGCACAACTTTGGAGTATGACAATTAGTAATGGCAACAAACTACACAGAAAGATTCAATACATTCATTGATTCAACAAATATTTGTGAGTACATATACATGCCAGGTGTTATTCTGTGTGCTACAGTGAGCACCACAAACAAAAAGACTTGCCCTGCCCTGGCTGGTGTGGCTCAGTGGTTGAGTGCTGGCCTGTGAATCAAAGAGTCACTGGTTCAATTCCCAACTGGGGCACGTGACTGGGTTGCAGGCCTGGACCCCAGTAGGGGGCGCATAAGAGGCAGACATACACTGATGTTTCTCTCCCTCTTAAAAAAAAAGACTTGCCTTTATGAAGCTTAAATTCCAGTTGATGAGTAACAGAGACTATTAAAAGCTCAACAAGTATTATATAATATCCTTGAAGGTGATTAGGTGCCATGAGGAAACTAGAATAGGGTAAAGGAAGATAAAAAAATTCCAGAGATTCCGAGATGGCTACAGAGTACGTGGAAACTACACTCGTTGGTACTGGAGTCAACCATATTTACTGCCAAATTATAGAGCAATAAACCTGAATAACCAAACGAAGCGCAGCTGAACTGAAATATAGCCAAGGATTTACAGAAGAAGCCACATAGAGACTGGTAAGAAGGGTGGAGCCATGGAAAAGGGGCGGTCCCTGAGCTCACAGTGCTCTGGCAGCCCGGAAGCTGGAAAGTGATCTCAGCTGCAAAACTCCTTCCCTCTATGAGTGTGGGGTCTCAATGCCACATAGGGATCCCGAATCCAAAGCCAGAGAACTGGGGAAAAAAAGCCTGCATAGCATCTGCTGGTAAAAATCACTAGAAATTCATTTCAAATGGGTGAGAAGAGTGTCTTCTAGAGACCCAGGTGCCACCCTCCCAGGGTCAAGCACTCCTATTGTTACAGCACCAGCCTGGGGAGTTTCTTTACTTTTCATACATCCATCCCCTAGGAGGTGAAGGCTGTACCACTAAGAATGAGATGTAAGACAAGGTTTACCAATTTGGAGAGGGGGAAATAACAGCATTTCAGGCATGCAGGTAGGCACACAATTATACAAGCAGAAAAGAATCCTGAGACAGCCATTAGAACTGTTGATGGAGATCTGAGTCATTTATATTATATAGAGTATAAATATAAATGTATATATACAGAAAAAGACATCTGACTATGGAGTTTAAGGGAGACTAGGGAGAAAAGGAAGAGAGACAATGCAGTCACATTAGAGAATAAAAAGAAATATATAGTTTTAAAATAATATTCATGATTAATAATGTAAAATACTACTCAGAAATGATATAAAATGAGTAGTGGTAATAGATAATTAACTTGGGAAATCAAAAGTCTATAGTGATTTTTAAGGGCTAATTATCAAAACCCTTTTCTATCTTCCCCATGGAAAATAAATTATTTAGGTTTACATATTGTTTCAGGTCAGAGTGCAAAATAATACTAAAATGTTATGTGACTATGATTAATATTGTGTATATTTCACTTATTCACATTTTTTTCAAAGAATAGTTGCCCTGTAACTATTCTTACTCCCCCTACTCTGTATACCGTGGGGGCAAAATCCAGGCGGTTACCAGAGAGAAAGATGCAGGGAGGTGGCAAAGGGTAAAGGGAGTCGAATTTGTGGGCATTGAAAGAGGTTTGACTTTGGGTGGTAAACACAATATGCAATATACAGATGATGTACCATAGAATTACACACCTGAAACCTATGTAATTTTATTAACCAGTGCCACTCCAATAAAATTCAATTTAAAAATTTAAATATTTATGCCTGGAATTGCTTCCCTGAGAAACTTAAATTTCAGTATCAATCAAAATTTCAATTTATGTTGAAGAATAATATTAGCAATGGAAATATCAAAATTATGAGATAGCCAGAATAAGCAAATACAGAACCCCTGGAAAGTACTATTCCTGGAATAGTTAATTTTCAAAATATCTATCTTGCAAACATAGAAAAAATAAAGTTGCCAAAATTGTTAATTATTGAGAAAGGACAGCATAGGTTAAAAAGGGTTATGAATAGTTATAACTGACACTCTAAATATGCCAGATATGAAGTCTGCAACTAGAAATAATCTTTGAATATGGGCAAGAGAGTATTAGCAGATTTGCTGGTGTATTAACTTTTACTAGTTGTGTAAAATGCTAATTAATGTGGGTAATGAGGGGAGATGGTGTAGTATATATGCAATTCACATTTTAAATGCCTTGAGAACAATTTCACAAAGAATATCATTATTTTCTTGATCTGGCAGTCAAATTATCTGATAAACTATTGACTGAAGCATTTATTCTCTTGAAACTAGTTTTAATGATGGATCTTAAAAGAAGCATAAAAGAAAATGTGAAAAATTTCATGAGAATTAGCATACATTTAAGTCCTAGTTATCATGATAGTTATGTAAATGTAATTGGTACTTCACTTACTAATGTTACAAACCTATGAAAAAAATAACATTTCAGAAACCACAATACCATAATTATAATTTTTACATTCATAGAAAATAAAGATGGCTTCAAGTTTCTATATAGACACAGAATCCAAAAATTTGAAGCCATCTCTGTATAATTTTGATGAACTTTATAACCAGGATTACAGTATTGTAGTTTCTTTTATTTTTATTTTTATTTAGTTATTTTTCAAGTACAGTTTGAGTACAGTTTTTCTGTTTGTAGTTTCTGAAATGTTAACTTTCAAATGTATTATTAAAACTGTCTCAAAATAACACTTCCTTTCAAAATAGCAAAATAAAGGATACTGCATCGCAATCTTCTCAATGGATTATTAAATGATTTGCTGTGTAGTCTGTCCATACACAGAAAGAATAATGTTGAAAGTAAGAATAATTTTTTTATGATGTTCAAAAACAATGAATCTGAGTAAATAAATCCTTTGACTTATTCAGGCTTTCTAAACACTATTTGGCAACAAAAACAAAAACAACGACAAATTCCAAATAACAAAAGATACCTATAAAGCTCTTTTCCAAAAAGTGCTATTTCTTTACCAGAATGGAAAAATAGTAAAATGATCATATTTTTTGCATTCTGAAAAAAGAAAATGAAAAAATTGAGATATGCCAAAAATGGCATTAAGATGAAAAAGTTCAATTATCTGGAGGAAAATTTTTTGAGTAAAAAAATATGATGTCACTAGATATTTAGTAAATAGAAAAAGTGGGAAATTAATTATTGAAGGTATAGAATACAACAGGAAAAAATTATAATGATCCTGAAACTAGAGACCAGAGGAAATATTTTTCAAAACCATTTTAAAGAGGTTTAATTCACAAACCATAACACATGAAAATGACTTAATGCAGTAAATTAATATTATTTATTGTGATTTATTACAATAGTAAATTAATATATTGCTCACCCTTAGTGAAAAAATTATTGCTAAAAGATATAGTTAATTTTTAAAAAGTAGTACCCTGATAGTATGTTGACACAACTCTGATAAAAACTGCCAAAAAAGTAATAATTCTTAGCAAGCACTGATGCAACTGTGGCATGGTTTACACATAACAGAACATATTTCTTCAAGGTAAAAATAGTCATACACTTGAAATTTGTTGGGCTAATTTCCTTTGAAGGAGAAGAGAAGCATTTTTACAATATTAAGAATACAGTGATATGCATTTTTTCCAGAATTTATTTTTTTAACGGTCGCTTATCTAAATTTTAAATCATCAGATAATACACAATAATAAATTAGCAAATATTTTAAATGATAATACAGTAATTTCAAAATATAACTGTACCTGATACTTAACAATGAAAAAAGTTTTCAAAATAGCTTATTCAAATATTTGACATATTTGGGTATGCTGGTGATGTCAAAAAGATTTTATTCTTTTTTACATTGTTAGCACAGTATATAAAGAAGTTTCAATTACTATACAGTAACTCCTCAAAATTATAGTGCACTCCTTGTTACTTAGTAGTTTAAAATAGGGAATGTATAAATATTCACTTATCTGAATATTTCCACAAGGATATTCAATCTAACAACTGATCCAGATGTTCCAGCAATGTACCTATTCAGGAGTTTAAACTACCATAGGCTGTTTTTGAAGGGATGAGGAGACAAGCTATTTCTCCCTCATTTTATCTGTCTACCTATCTGCTAGTAAATAATAATGAATTCCTTCCATTTTATCACTATAAAATAATTTTGAAATTCTTACCTGATACTACACCAATTCCATCATCACAGTCATAGTCAGAGACTTCGCTATCACTGATTCTCTTTGACCCTAGAAAGCAAACAGCAGTGATTAAAATTGCTGATTACTAATGAAAACAAAATACCCTCACCAACCTGAAAAATAAATGAAAGGACTTTGAATGGAATTTAAGAACAGGAAACTTAAAGAGAAGGAAAGTCACTATGAGCTCACAAACATATTTTTATACATACTTAATGATGCAGGTATATTATTCTTGAGATATATAAGATAAAGCTCCTAAATGACTTAAAGCTTGAAATGATATAAAATATCAAATAATATATGTAAGTGGCTTGATACTGATTAATAAAATCTACTTGACAAAAGCTAAGTCAAGTAGCTAAATCAAGTAAGTTTAAGATGCTTTAGACCAAGGCACCCAAGTCTAGGTAAATTTTAAAACTTCAACATGTTATTTCAAAAGCATTCATGTATCTTTCTAACATGCATGTCTAATAAATTAAGTATACCTAGTTATTTATTTTTCACATTCAGGGAGAGGAAGCATAATTTAAGACAACTCAAACATCCCTTTTGAATTATTACTTTAGCTGTTTTCTATGGTTTTGAGAAGAAAATTTAAAATCAGTCATCCACAAACTGACAAATACATCTAGATTTTGTACTGTATTATGTTTTTCTAAGAAATAGCCTAAGAGAGAACAGTAAAAATTATTATAATTCAGAAGCTCCATGTGTGTGTTTTCATTGCAAAACAAACCTGTAACAAAATTTTCAAATGTTAATTTGAAATTCATAGTCTGGCAAAAAGCATTGATCTAAATTAAGCAGAACTTCTCTAGCTAAAGCAGACCATCTCCAAACTTAAATATGAAATATACCACATATATAAATATGTTATATTTTACTTGTTAATATCTCTTCTCTCTGCATGTGTCTTAGCAATAGGTTCACCGAACAACAGAATTAATTAAAGCACTTAATCAAAGGAGAATACATTTAGTGATCAATAAAAAGAGTATTGCTATTTTAAAAAAATAACTTGTTTTATCTACTTGCATTACATGTTGTTCATTAAACAGACTAAACCCAAGTATCAGAAAATAAATGTTTTCCTGTAGGTTTATGAAACATTGAGAGCTCATATTGTGTAAGATGTCTAAAACAGCAATATTTAAATGTTCCAGAGATGCCTTCCATTATTAGAAATACCCTACACACTTTTTTTCTTTGTTTGAATCCTTACCCTCTTGGGAAAGGAAGAGTCTTTGTTGCCAGGAACTGAATTCTTATTTTTCTCCTTTTAATATTTAGGTAGAAGAAACCTATCTGTTTTTATCATGTGGTCTCACTGAATGACCTCACTATTTTCCTTCTATAATTTTATGTTCCTAAACTTCATACCTAATCAAATATGAAGCTTTTATAACTCCAAATAATTTGCAAACTACAATGATCTGACAACAGCCCAAGAGAAGTGGCATATAAGGGCTTACAGAATTAGGACATACATTCTAAACAGACTTAGGAGTGAGGAAAGAGAACACAGATGAAGCTATTGAGAGAGTTAAGAAGAACTGTTACATTTCTATCAAGATTTCACCTTGTAAATGTTCAAGAAAAGGATAATAATTAGTTTCATACACTGCATATATTACAAAGCATAATGATCACATGATTTTGAAATTGGTCAAGAATTGCATTGGCTTCTGGTATAAGATAACAATGACACCAATAAAAACTAAGTTCATTTTATCAGCTTTTGTGAGTGGTCTGTGCGCATGCAAGCTTGGAGGTGAGGATAGAGAATGTATGTGGATTAAATGTTTATTCCTTCCAAATCTTATTGGTTACTCTCCTGATGGAAATCTTGATCTATATTGCTATTAATTCTATAGAGGTTAAATATATTTCAATTTTTCTGTTTGGATGTTATCTTTTCACATTCTGTTGAATTCAAGAAGTCAAGTTTAATGTCATTGAATATACTTATCTTCTCTTTTAAAGGAAGTGTTTTCAAAAGAACCATGAGGTTCCAGACATGATGGAGGCATAGGTAGATACACTTCACTTCTTGCACAATGAAAAGAAGGGTAACAACCAACTTAAAAGCAAAAAACAACCAGAACTGCCAGAGAATTGACTGTATGGCAGTCCAACAACCAATGAGTTAAGGGAGAAACTTTCATCCAGACCAGTAAGAGGGGTGGAGATGGGGAGCCAGGGCAGAGAAGATGCAGGGCAAAGCGGTGGCTGGTGAATTGGGAGGTCCCACATTCAAGTGTGGATAAACCAGGAGAAAAAACTGGGGAGCAAGACAGACCACACAACCCAGGGTTCCAGTTGCATGACATCATAATTAAATTATCCAAGATTAAAGATAAGGAGAGAATCTTAGAAGCAGTAAGAGAAAAGGAGACAGTTACCTACAAAGGAGTGCCCATAAGACTGTCAGTTGATGTCTCAAAAGAAACCTTGTAGGCAAGAAGGGGCTGGAAAGAAGTATTCAAAGTCATAAAAGGCAAGGACCTACATCCAAGGTTATTCTAACCAGCAAAACTTTCATTTAGAATTGAAGGGCAGATAAAGTGCTTCCCAGATAAGGGAAAGTTAAAGGAGTTCATCATCACCAAGCTATTATTGTATGAAATGCTAAAGGGACTTATCTATGAAAAAGAAGAAGATCAAAACTATGAAGAGTAAAATCACAACAAACTCACAACTATCAACAACTGAACCTAAAAACAAAAACAAACTAAGCAAATGACTAGAACAGGAACAGAATCACAGAAATGGAGATCACATGGAGGGATATTAGTAGGTAGGGAGAGGGGAGAGAATGGGGGGAAAAGTACAGGGAATAAGAAGCATAAATGGTAGGTAGAAAATAGACAGGGGTAGGTTAAGAATAGTACAGGAAATGGAGAAGTTAAAGAACATATGTACAACAAATGGACATGAACTAAAGGGTGAGTGCTAGAGGGAAGGGGGTACAGGGCAGAGAGAGAGAGAGGGTAGAAAAAATGAAACTGTACATAATCAATAAAACATACTTTAAAAAAGTATTTTCATTGTCTTGTTTATGAAATTTTCCCTAAGCTTATGAGCAGAGAGATATTCTTTTATATTCTCTTATGAGTTTAAAACCTGTCATAAAAGTAAATGTATCCTATCTGCTATGGTGTTTGATGCTCTATTTTTTTCTCGCATGGGCTATCCATAAACCAGTAACTATCTTTGTTATTATAACATTATACTACTGAAAAGCAAATCCATCATATCCTGGATTTTATCCTTTGCTCTGCCATATCAACTTTAGATTAGGCTGTCAAACTGTACAAAGACATTACACCGAAATTTTTATTTTAACTGCTGTCGATCAATTCCTCAATTGATGAAAATTTAGCATGTCGTATAGCACTGTATTACTAAACATCACAAGGCATTCTCTCCACTTAAATATCTATGAAATTTTTAATTTTAGTCATTCAAACTTTCCACATTTATTGGCTTTATCTTTTGTACCTTATGATTTCCATTGCTATACAAAATCCTGTTAAAAGTATGTTTTCTATCCTAATCACTCATGTAAAGAAATATAATTTTATTGTAAAATAATATTGACCATAATGTTTAACTCTGTCTCTATCTCATTTTTTTACATCCAATACATTTATTATAGTTTAATTTGAATTTTCCTATGTAAACAATCTTTTCTTCCCAATCTTAATGAGTTTTTATTTTTCTAGTCTTTCTATGCTGATAGGTACAATACTGGAAATAAACAGAGAAATTTTACATTCTCTTCTAAATTCTGATTTTAATAAATTTTTTCTAGTATTTCCCCACTAAAAATTATATCTGGTGAAGTTACATTTTATCAGATTGAAACATGTTTCTTAAATTTAGAGATATTTCATTAAGGACTTTGCATTTTTATTTATAGTTCTACTGCCCCAATGAGAAAATCAGAATTAATTCATTTTTTAAAAATTCTCTGGGAGAATTTGTGTAAGGTTGTAAAATTTTTGGTTTTTGAAATTTTGATAGAACCTGTCAAAAACTATAATGGCCTGGTATTTCCTTTGTGGGAATATTTTAAATTATTCTATTTTTTCAGCAGATGTAGAAAGACTTACTGATTCAAGGTCTTGGTCAGACTAGTTAAATGTCAGTTTTACTGAGCTTTTTGAAATACAGTCATGGGTCTTGCTTTTTTTTTTAATGCAGTCTAACAATCTCTCATAAATATTTCTCCAAGCAATTCAAATCTCTATTATTAAATGTTTAAAATTGATAGTCTCTTGAATCAATTTATCCCTTTATTATTACAACATAACCTCCTTTATCCTTGTTAATATTCTTTGCTTTAATATAATTTGTATGACATTAATGCACACATTCCATATTTCTTTTAATTAGTTTTACTGTGGTATATCTTTTCCATTAAACCTCTCTGTCTTTTTGTATTTTAAATGGGTTTCTTACAGGCAGTAATTGGCTCCTTTTGCCTTTTAAAAAATGCAACCTTTCAATTTCTGCCTCTTAATTGGAGGTATTTTGGTTATTTACATTTAATATGATCATTGAGTTGTTTGGTTTACATCTATTAACTTGCTGTTCACATTCTATTTGTCCTATCTGTTCTTTGTTCCTTTGAATCCACTTTCAATAGGGATGTGGAGGCTGTGTAAAAAAGCTGAAGGCATTGAGAAGTACACATTGCAAGTTACAGAAGAGTCATGGGATGTAAAATACAGCATAGAAAATTGAGTCAATAATATCATAATAACTATGTATGGTGCCCATTGGATACAAAATTACCAGGGAAAGCACTTTGTAAAGCATATGATTGGCTAGTCACTATGCTATACAACTGAAACTAATACAAAATAATAACATCGAATGTAAACTATAATGTAAACTGTAGAGAGGAGGCAAATGGAAACTCGACTTGAGGTGTGTTGTGGACTGTGCGCCTGAAACCTGTATAATTTTGTTAACCAGTGTCACCCTGATCAACTTAATAAAAAAAAATAAATGTTGTAAAAAAATTAAAATTCTTT